GGGTTGCTCTTCGCACGCAAGTCGGTGATCGGTGAGATCGGGTACCGTAACAGAAGCAAGGCAGAGGCCCCCGCAGCAGCGGGGGCCGCCACCAGCCCATCATCGCAGCCGACGTACTGGCACCACAGCCAGAACGGAGGCCCTGGGATGCCTTACTCTTGCTACTACCCGAAAAAAGACGCCCGCGAGCACCTCCAGGATTTACTGACTCAGTCAGAGGAATGCCAACGCAAGATCCAAGAGAAGGAGAGTGAGAAACTGAGGCGCGCCGAGGCTGAGGCTAGAGGGGACCGCCGCTTCTCTAGTAATCGCGAGGTGACCCTCTTCCGCGCGTTGCAGAAGACGTTCCCGCCAGAGACCGTGGAGGTGGAGGGGCGCTGGCACGGCGGCGCCCACTACCCTCTCCTGTTCCAAATGCGCATGGCCAGCGTGCGTTCGCCGGGGAGGAAGCAGGAGAGAGCCAAAGAGAGGAAAGACAGGCGCGCCCAGAAACAGCTGGCAGCTGCGCTCAGGGCGCCGCTGCCGCCCGAGCAGCACGAGCGCCAGGCACCAGAGCAGCGCAGCGAGAGGGGCGAGCAAGACGAGCGCGCCCAACAGGCGTGGCGCCCACCAAGATGGGCAGACGAAAGCGCGGACGACGGCCGCGACATGCCCGCGGCTGGCGATGGAAGGTCGCGGCGGGGGGTTGAAAGGGGGAGGGGGGGAGAGGGGCGGTGGAGCACGGGGAGGGCAGGAGGGAGGAGAGGGAATGAGGAATAGGCTGAGCAGGACGAGGGATGACATAAGGAAATGAGTGTCGGGAAGGGGCGGGAGTTGACAGGGAGGGGATATATAAATAATTATTTATCACCCCCCATGGTGGCAGCCGACCCCGCAGTGCCCATCTCCAGGGCCTGCGCCGCTGGAGCAGCGAGGGCAGCGCGGCGCCGCCATCTACATCTCGGACGCGATCGCTGCCCTCGGCCACGAGCCGCCAGAGCCCCCGCAGCAGCGGAGGCCACAAACGCCACGGCAGCAACCAACAGACGAGGAGTGGCGCAGGGATGAGCGGTGGCGCACCAAGGAGGGCGAGGAGCGCGAGTGGCAACAGCCGAGCGGCGAGGCTTCCTCGCTGCAGGACCGCATGGTCGACTCCGCCTGGCGCGACATGCAAGTTGCATTCGGCAGCGACCAACGCCCCAGTGACTGGTGGAGCAGCCACAGTGGGTGGAGTAGCGGCCAGGGGCACTGGGAGGTCGCGACCACGACTTGGAGGTGGGTCGAACCCCCCCCCGAAACCAATCCCTGGGAAAAGCTTAGTTGAACCATCGCACAGGAGCCGCCCCTCCGCAGCAGCGGAGGGAGGCCTCATCGGCCGAACGTCGACCCTCCGCAGCAGCGGAGGCCTTGCCAATGCATCGTGAGCGGCGGCGACTCGCGCGCGCCGTCGTGCTCGGCGACCGCTGCCCGAGCGGAGAAGGAAAAAGAAACGGTGCTTTCATCGGTGCTGTCGTTGCCTCCTCTCCTTCATCGTTTTCTTCTCCCTCCCCCTCCAATCCCCCATCCCGCTATCACATTTTATCGTCTCCAATCGTATCGGGAGCTCCCGTGGCAGAAGAGCACCCAGAACGAGGTCCTCCGTGACAGAGGGGGGGGCATCTCAGACCCCCTCTGTGACAGAGGGGGGGCATCTCAGACCCCCTCTGTGACAGAGGGGGGGCCAAAAAACAAATGATCACTTTAATGCGGCTTCTGGATTACCAAGCTGAAACGTATTTCGCTCTCCAGGGCGCTCGTCTCTACCCGATGAAGACGACCGCGCGTGCAGGCGCTCCGACGCGCGACGGCAGGCCGAGGCGGGCAGAGTCAGCTAAAGCCAAACACCGGTGAACGGCAGCAGGTACTGAAGATCCAATGCTAGTGCGGGGGCGTGACTCCCCAACCGAAGAGACGTTAATTCAGGACGCGCCCTTGGCTGCCTGCGCCAGATGTGGCCACTGAGCGGCCCAAGCCGCAATGACCCCTGAATGGCCAGACGGTCTCAAAATGGCAGCGCCAGGGCATGAGCCCCTGGCAGTGCGGGTCCGAGATCAAGAGTCCCATGCCAGAAGATCGAGCTGAAAATCATTGGGCGGATGGGCTGGGAAGCACATTTCGCTGCCCTTCGCGCCCGAGACAGCCCGACTGAGACGGGCAGGCACGCACGCGCACTGATTGCGCGGGCACACGGGCCCACAGACTGCCATACCGTGGCAGCAAGGGTCCTGAAGACCCATTGGCAGCGATGGGGCGTGACCCCCCGACCGACGGGACGCACTGACTTGCGACTGTTGGTTGCCTGCACCAAACACGGCCACCGAGTGGCCCAAGTTGTCGAGACCATTGAGCGGCCTAACAGTCCTCCGCGTGCTACGACCATGTTGACGTTGGGCATGTGCAGATATCAGAATTTCCGAAAAGGCTTCGCCTACCGTCAACTCAAACCATTTACCAACATCTTGCCGAGCAAGGTGGAATATGGCTCGCCTCCTGTGCCGCGAACCTCTTTCCCTACGAGGGCTGGATTGACGGCGAGGGCTCTGGAAGGAGGGATGTGACAAGCGATGGGGATGGGGGGAGCGCGAGCAAGATGGATCTCAGCCATCAGATGCATGACCCATTTCGATTCGTTCGATCCAGTGGAATGCCGGCTCCGCCCAGCTCGTTCCGATTCGATCTCGACGTTCCGGCGATTTGGCGCGGTTGGGTGCTTGAATGGCGTTGTTGTGCATTTTAGCGCGGCCGATCCATTTCGATTTTGACTCGGTGCCGATGCGGCCATTTCCGACGCACGTTCCGACTCGACTCGATCCGACCAGACGCTGCCATATATCCAGTTGGTCATGCGATTCATCAGTGCAGTTTCTGAGTGAGGAGCCCACGCGAGCCTGTCTCGATTTCCTGAGCCACCCGCAGGGAAGAACACTGAAACGCCTCGCGGACTGGGCCAGGGGTGGTCTTTCTCCACGGCGCGTCTCGCGACCGCGCGGATGCCTCTGCACTCCGCTCTCCCTGCAGCACGGAGCGCCAGGTGTGCCGGGAGCTCCTGCGAGCTCCCCTCTCCCCACTCCGTGCGGGAGCTGCTTGGAGTGCCCCCCGGGGCCGAGGGCCCCCCCGGGTCTGGGCCTCCCCGCGAGCAGCTCGAACCGCGAGACGCGATCGAGCAGATCGCGGATCGTCGCAGCTTGTCCAGGAGCGAAAGAAGGACGTACATGTACACGAATCCACGCTGGTTTCGAGAGTGCGCATTGCGCGATTGTTCATATCACGCGGCCAGTCTCGCGGATCGAGGGGCCGTGTTCATGTACATAGCTGGGCGCGTACGTCCTTTGTGGGCTCCCTAACTCGTGTTCCCCAGAGTGGCCTCCTGCGGCGCATTAGCGCGTCCGCTCGGCCCTCGGCCCCAGAGCGCCACCCCGCGACGACCGCTTCGAGGACCGATTTTCCCCGCAGGCCGAGCGTATCGACAACGGAAGACCACGTAACCGCCAAGGGGAACCGAGCGAATGCGCACTGCGCGATTTACTCAGCATGGCGACGCGCAGTGTTTCGCACTGTCGCCTCTAATCATCCATCCTGTCGCAAGGAATCCTACAGTCGAGCGCAGGTTTTTGATTCCGCACCACATGCGATGTTCTCGAATTCGGCGGTGCCCCGTCTGCGTTCAAATCCAGCTACAGTCTAGCTACAGTCAGAACCGCCAAATTCGAATCTACACGATACGGTTTGCCAAACGAGATTTTACCATGTGGCATCACTCTTGGGACTAAAAACAGGAACAAGGCCTGCGCGCATGAAGACGCACCGCGGAGCATCCTCACGCGTCTCTCTATACGATTGCGACGTTGCCTAACTGCCCCCACTCTCGATGCGTCACGGTCAGGGAACGACTGTGGCCGACAGGGAGATGGGGTCCTTGCAACAATGCAAGTGCACCTAGAGCCCGGTTTCAGGCACCCCGGGCAGGCACTGGAGACACGATTGGCGCACACGTTCTAGCATTACGTATTTGCGGGGTGACGCCCCGATCACCAATTCAACCGCGGATGTGTTATGGTTGGTGGAAGACCTGGGTTCATACCTGGCGCCCCTGGGTGTACCTTCTCCTGTGGGCACCTCTAGCACCTCCCGATCCGTGGGCCTCCTGGAGCCCAAGGACTCCTGCACCCCCCAGGAGATGCTGGCGGCCTCCTGAAACTCCCACCCCCCTGCTCTTCTTCCCTCCCGTCCCCAGACTCCCGCACGCTGTGATTGTTTTATGACGTGACTTGCAGGTGTCTCGACCCATCTCCCAGGGCCGGCTCTTCATCACGCGTCGTTTGCTGACGGTCCCCAGGCCCAACAATGGCCCCTGGACGTCGAACATTGCAGTCGTGATGTTTCTTTCGTGACGCGAGGGGGTCTGGGTCCTGTCCATTTTCAGAGTACCCGCCACGGTGGGCAAGCCGTGCTGCCTGGGCCCACCCGCTCCGCTAGGGTGTACAGAGTGGTCAGTGGCACCTCCTGGTCTGAGGTGAGCGTTGCCAGTGACGCTCGCGGAGGCAACGCCCCCCCACCATCCCGCTGCCGCGCACTCCCCTGTGCTGGCCGGGGTCGTGGGGGCCCTCCCCTCCCCCCCTAATTTGGTGCAGGTGGCCTGACCCGGGCACGGCGCGTCGGCGCTATGGACGCTCGGTCAGCGCCTGCCGGACAGAAAAAAAGGGTCTGGGTCCTGATCTCCTCCCTCCCAGTTCTTGCCCTCATCCTTCCTCCGTCCCGGGGCGACCTTGGCCCCCCCCCCTTCGGGGGTGGCAAAGAGGGGGGTGATGACTAGGGGGGGGTGGATATCATGGCGTGGCCATGATACTTTCCCAGATTTCACAGCGCCTCCTCTTTTTTCATTACGTCCCTGGCCCCCCCGTTTGGCCGCGCACATGCCGCCGGTCATGATTGGCACTCCCCCCTCTTGGACGCCCCCCTCTTGGCCGCCCCCGATCTCCCAGACTGCAGCACCTGGAGCTTGAGCACAAACTAGAGATGGAGAAGGCGCGGCTGCCCCAGCGGGGCCTCCCTGGCGGGCTGGCGGGGACCAGCGGGAGGCAGCTAAGTAATGTACTAGACCCTTTTCTTCGTGACCAAAAATCACGACGGGAAGGTTTTCCTTGTTTTCGGACTCTGGGGGCCATCGCCGGGTCTTGGGACCGTCAAACAGGATTCGAGGCGAAGAGCCCTTCCTGGGATATGGGTCGGGACCTGGGGTGTGTGCCAAGAGGCAGAGATCATCTCGAAGACCGTGAGATCTGGGCGTTGCAAGTTTTTCACGCTTGGCGTTTCCGCCCAGCTTCGGCATCCGAGGCCATCGCATATCGATCTGGTTCGAAAAATGCAGCAGAAATATGGAACCAACGTCGGATCTCAAGAAAACAGCTCCCCAAGCGAACATTGATGAACAACACGTGTCGCCATGAAGGGCAGGGGCGCCTGCAGGAAGGGGGCCCTGGAGGTTGTTTCGCCGTTCTCGTGCTCCTGGGGATTTCCGCCTGGGCCCCGGGACCGTCCGAGCTGGTCCCAGGAGAAAGCCTGGGTGCGGGACGCGTTCCTCTACGGTCTCTGGACTGACTGGACTCGACCGACCCGCCGACCCCGTGGGTCCAGACTCACCAAGGCACCCTGGTTTCCCGCAAGTCCCTAGAAGAGCCCGACAACGGACGAAGCGCAAAGGATGGAGGTCGTGAGGAGGAATGGCCCAGGTGCCTCAGCTGTGGCACGGTTCAATGAGAGGAGCACGTTGGTCGCACGAGGGCCAGTTGCCAATGCGTTACAATCAACCCGCACAGTAAGGATGAGTAACTTTACAAGGTTACCGTTGCATCCTTCTCCTTCGGCCCATCCTTGGACACTTCGCTGGCCGAGCCCCGCTCGCAAAGTGTCGACATGGCCTCCCAAAGCCATTGCATCCTTATCGCTCGTCCGTATTTTTCGGGTTGAATGCATTGTGTTTCGCTGCTTCACGCGTGTTTCTTGCAGCCGGGCCTTTCCGGAAGCCATCTCGCTGGGCGCCCTTGCCGCCGCTCTTGGGCCGCCGCATGGGCGACGACAGGCCGGATGTCGCTTGGCAGTTCCAGACAAGGCCGAACCCCAGGGGTCGCCTGGGCGGTACTGACCGGCTTGCCTGACAGGCGTTCCGTTTCGGCCAGGCCCCCTTTCTTTCCACGCCATGAAGCCCACGGGACCCGAGGGAGGCGGTTCCTGTAATCGTTCGCCGTCTTCAGGGCTTTGGGGCCCCCTTCATGTCTTCGGGCTCCTGGGGCTTTCCCCGGGCCCTCTTGGGTCTATGCTCTGGATGAAGAGCGGGACCTTGGGGATAGGACCCGGGGTCCAGGATCCGTTTGCTTCAGATCTCGTCCGCTGCATGCCAATTTTGGAAAAAGAGGAATCATTTGCACAACCATATTTTTGTCAGCGCTCCGCGAGGAACCTCATCCCTGGCGCGCGGAACGCACCAGGGGCGGCGCCACAGGCGCCGCAAGGGAGCCTTGGCGCCGAACCAAGAAATCTGCGCGGCACTCCGAGAGTTTATGAGCCAGTCGCTTTTACCTAACAGCGAAAACTGATAGGCTTCTAGTGGGCTCAAAAGAGAGCATCTTGACTCCCCAGGGGGGTCTGGGCGGGTGCCGGGAGAATCTGGGGGAATCCGTGGGCTCCCCAGGACTCTTATAGATTCCAATAGTTTCATATGGATTCCTACTCTTCGTGTTCCCAGAACACCATTCCTGGGCCACATTTTGAATGCCCGGAGCCAACTGTAGGCCACTTCGTGTTCTTCGTGTTCCCAGAACACCACTCCCAGGCCACATTTTGAATGCCCGGAGCCAACTGTAGGCCATTTCGTGTTCTTCGTGTTCCCAGAACACCATTCCTGTACCATATTTTGATTGTCCGGAGCCCACTGTGGGCCACTGCGTGATCTTTGTGTTCCCAGAACACCTGTCCTGTGCCATATGTTGAATGCCCGAGCTGAAGCAGGCTGATGCCGAGGCAGGCTGAGGCCGAGGCTGGCTGAGGTTGAGGCTGAGGCACGCCGAGGCAGGCTGAGGCTGAGGCTCAGGCAGGCTGAGGCTGAGGCTGACGCAGGCTGAGGCCGAGGCAGGCTGAGGCTGAGGCTGAGGCAGGCTGAGGCTGAGGCAGGCTGAGACTGAGGCTGAGGCAGGCTGAGGCTGAGGCTGAGAGGCTGAGGCTGAGGCAGGCTGTGGCTGAGGCTGAGGCCGGGCCAGGCTGAGGCTGAGGCTGAGGCAAGCTGAGGCAGGCTGAGGCTGAGGCTAAAGCTGAGGCATGCTGAGGCTGAGGCTGTGGCTGAGGCTGTGGCAAGCTGCGGCTGAGGCAGGCTGAGGCTGAGGCTGGTGCAGGCTGAGGCTGAGGCTGAGGCAGGCTGAGGCTGAGGCAGACTGAGGCTGAGGCTGAGGCTGAGGCAGGCTGAGGCTGGGGCCGAGGCAAGCCGAGGCAGGCTGAGGCTGAGGCTGAGGCTGAGGCTGAGGCTGAGGCAGGCTGAGGCTGAGGCTGAGGCCGAGGCAGGCTCAGGCCGTGACAGGCTGAGACTGAGGCCGAGGCTGAGGATGAGGCCGAGGCAGGCTGAAGCTGAGACAAGGTGAGGCTGAATGGGGAGGGGGGGGGAGAAGGTGGGGGGGGGGGTAGGAGGAGGGGCTGAGGCAGGTTGAGACCGAGGCAGGCTGAGGCCGAGGCAGGCTGAGGCTGAGGCTGAGGCAAGCCGAGGCAGGATGAGGCTGAGGCTGAGGCAGGCTGAGGCTGAGGCAGGCTGAGGCTGAGGCTGACCCAGGCTGAGGCTGAGGCAGGCTGAGGCTGAGGCTGAGGCAGGCTGAGGCTGAGGCCGAGGCAGGCTGAGGCTGAGGCTGAGGCAAGCCGAGGCAGGCTGAGGCTGAGGCTGAAACTGAGGCAGGCTGAGGCATCCGTAGGAATAGGAATCCTTAGGAATCCCTAGGAATCCTTAGGAATCCGTAGGCATCCTTAGGAATCCGTAGGCATAGTTAAGCATCCTCCGGAATCCTTGGGATTCCCGAGGACTCCTTCGGAATCCTTAGGAATCCCTAGGAATCAGGATTCCTAAGGTTTCCTAAGGTTTCCTATGGATTCCGAAGGATGCCTAAGGATGCCTTGGGAATCCGTCGGAATCCTTAGGTATTCATTGGATCCTAAGGCCGTTGCCACTGCGACTGCCATTGCGAGAACAGCTGAATTTTACAACTGGATTTTCACCTGAATCTTAAGGGGAACGCTTCCAGATATGCTTCTACACATCGCTGTTAGGTTGCTTTGCCGGTATAATTTTTGTTCTTTTCTAAGAGTTCTCTTCATTCAGCGGTGCGCCGATGGCACAAATACTGGTGTTTGCACTCGCCTCTTCCGGCCCCCGGGGGGCAGGAAAAAACTTCCCCCAGGAACGGAGGGTGCGGACCCGACCCATCTGTCCCGCAGCGCGCGGCCTCTCCAAGGCCGCGCGGGCAGATGCCGGTGGGGCCCGCGGGGGAGCACCCGCTCCCATGCCCCCAGGGCGCGTCGGGAACACGAAGAAGATGCCCCATTGGGCCAATGAACGCAGCAGGCCACTATGGGCCACAGCGCGCGGTTACTCAGCAAGCCGCTACGGGCAGCAGCACGTGGTCACTATGGGTCGAAACGCGAGACACGGTGCTGGCCACCTATGGACCGAGACGCGAGACACGACGCGGTATTTATATCCCGCCCCAGAAACAGGCGGACATAGCACGGCACGGCACCACGCCGCACAACGCGAGCGAGAGGCGGAAGCGGGTCGGCAAGCGCGCGGCCGACGAGCCGAGCGAGGGCGCCCCCGCGGCCAGCTGCGGGGTCGTTTCCAGCACTGGCGCATTTGTGCCAGGCAATAATTCCGTTATTCCGACCCCACAAATTGGCGCTTGCACTCGCCTCGCTTGGGCCCGAGGGGGGAAGAGGAAGCTCCCCCCAGGAGCGGAGGGCGCGGGCCCGACGCACCTGCCCCGCAGCGCGCGGCCTTTCCGAGGTCAAACGGGCAGATGCCGGTCGGGCCCTCAGGGGGGCACCGCCCACTGCAACGGCGCTCCCGCGGGCCACGCCCGGCGCAGCCACGCCGTCGCTGGACGACTCTGCCCAGTTGGCCTCGACGACCGATTGTGGCTAGAGCCGGGCGCGGGCATTTCATCCGCGCGGGCTGACGCCGACCGCCCGCGCGATGGAGGTCGGTGACCGGGCAACCCTTGGCTGCAATGTCCCGCGCGCGCCCGCGCCTGAACGCGCGATTGCCGAATTCGTCCGCGCCGTGAAGCCCCATGTCGCCGAACGCGCGGCGCAGCCGAGCACGCGCTGCGCCCGGGGGCCACGCGGCCCAGAGGGGGCGGTGAGCTGGCGCGCCACTCAGCCAGGCTCCGAGAACGCGCGCGGAGCGGGTGCCCGCGCGCTCGTCGCGCCAGCGTTGCCGCGACGACGCCGAGCGGCCCTCGCGATTCTTTCTCCTGGAGAGGCGCAGCTCGATCTTTTGATCGCCGACGACGAACGCCGCGAGCGCGCGAGTTGCGGTCTCGCCATCTGCGACGCGCACTGCGGGCGGCGTTTTCGAAGGTAGCCGAAGGGGGAATGCGCGGGCCGCCAAGCGCAGCAGGGCGAAACGGCGACCCTTGTCGCCGAGGCCCAGGTGCGGCGCAAGGCGGGCGACGTCGCGGCCCCGAACGGCCGCGCGCGCCGTCGCTCTCGACGGCGACCTCGGCGGCGCGAGCCGCCTGGGCCTAGCGCGCCGACCCCCGCCGCGGGCAAGCGCGCGATGCAAGAAGATAAAAGAGGCGCGCTCCCGCGCGCCACGAGGCACGCCTTCTTCACGTGAGACACAGTTGCTAGGAGTGTCAGCGCACCGAAAGGTCGCGGGCCACAGAATCAGCCCCTCCTTAGGGCGGCGGCAAGTTTCTCCCGCGTCGCCGAAGGGCGGTCCTTGCGAATGCCACCCAGCACTCGAGCCCGCTGCTGAGCGCCAGGAGCGAGCG